GGGCGGGATGGCGGCTGGCGCATGTGCGAGGGAGGGGGCGGTCCGGCACGGTTTTGAAGACAAGGGGTTTTTGGGGTGAGGGGAGGGCAAAGCGCTGGCTGTGCCAATGGACAGCACGTTCCCGGACTGCTAGGGTGCGGACAGCATGGCACTGTATACATCAGGCTCCAACGCTGGTGCACCCGCACTCTGCGTCCCTGCCGGCCCGCCCGCTCGCGAGCCGCGTTGCGAGGGCCGGGCGACGCGCACCGTGTACATGACGGGCTTGCGCACGGGCCAGCACTCATATGCATCTGGGTCCTTTTTTGTGGGGGCGGGCATGCAGCTGCGGGGGGACGCGAGGGATGGGGGCAAACAAGGGGGTTCCGTAACGCAGCAGCCCCGCGTGCATTCAGGGGTGGTCTGCGCCTCGAAACTGGACCCGAAGGCAGGGCCCGACGGAGAGCTGGGTGGGGCGCCCAGCAGCGAGCACAATAAGCCAGGCACCCGTCTGGGTGTGAGGAGTGTCTCTTTTCTCAATCAGCCGGGCCAACCCGCCCGCTTCGCCTCACTTGACGCAGAACTTGTCGGCGGGGCAGCGCTCCATGCCCTTCTCCTTGAAGGCCGACTGGTCTGTGGCGGCGTAGTGCAGGCAGCTCTCGTCGGGAAGGCCAAACTTGGCCATGTAGTGGAACACGTCGATGGCGTCGCCGCCTGGGTGACGGGCGGCAATGTGGGGGAGGAGCGTGTGCAGGGGCTTGCTGTTAGGCCGTGCTGATGTGTGTATGTGTGTATATGTAGGTGTGTGTGAGTGTATGTAGGGTATGTGTGGTGTGTGCGTTGGGTCATGGTGATGGTAGTAGGGCAGCAGCTGCGGGGCCTTGAGAGACAGCTGCCAGCCCCCCGCTGCCAGGGAGTGTCTGAGCCCGGCCAGACGTCCGCACCCCACGTGGGGCGGCTCAAGGAGCGCTCGTTAGCTGACCCCCCGCGTGAGAGGCCGCTTGCCGCAAAAGGCCAACGTAGCACACTCTTCCGTCGCTACGTATCGCAATACCCGCCCATACATAAACAAGGCATACACACACCCACACACTCCACACATCGACACACACTCACACTCACACACGCCACCGCCTGCGCACCGTCGCAGCCCGTGCCCATGCCGTGGAACGCGGCGCAATTGAGGAGGGTCTGGCGGCCCAGCATTACGTCGGGGGTCATGTCGCCGGCGCGCAGCTTGGCAATCTGTTAAGAGGTGTGGATGTGTCAGTACGTGTGTGTGTGTGTGTGTGTGTGTGCGCGTGTGTGAGGTGGACAGCAGTGAGGCGCTCGCTTCAGGGAACTGTGAAAGCGGCCCGCGCCTCGAGGCAAGCCCTGCAGCGCGCGTCACATCGAGCGCTGCAGCGGGCCCCCCCCCCCCCTCAATACGCCAGCCCGCAATCTCCAGTCCTGCAGGCGCAGCGCCATCACCTCCTGTCCTGCGCCCACCTTAAGCCTGTCTTGGATCATGGACAGCGTGCCATGGGCCCAGCAGGAGCCGCAGTACCTGAAGTGTGGTTGCAAGGGGTGTGTGTTGTGTTGTGTGTGTGTGTGAGTGTGTGTGTGTGTGTGTGCGCGCGCGCGCACGTGCGTGCGTGTGTGTGCGCACGTGCGACCACGTGCAAGCGGGAGCGCGCAAATGCATGCATGCATGCATGTATGTATGTGAACCAAGTTGTGACGCACGATTCATTCATGTCAGTGCTTAGTGGCTCGCAAGCGCAGCTTGTTGCGGGGCCCCTGATGCGGCTCCGCTGAGTGCCCGAGCAGACAGTCCCAGGGGAGGGGGGCTGCGCTGTGCCCCCGCCTCTGCCCGCCCTGTGGGCTGCTCACTGGGGGATGTGCTGATTCCAGCTGGGGGTCAGCCAGTTGGTGCCATTGTGGTTGGACCTGTCCCGCAGGATGGTGGTGGGAGGGGGGGGTCCGCACGGGCCGCATGGGGGCGCATGGGGCCGCATTGCGGTCCACATGCAGGTGTGGGGTGCAGGGGTTGGCACGAGCAGTGCGCGCTCAACCACCCACGCGGCTGCGAAGCTGACATGGGAACGCAGCTGTTATAAAGCCTGCGTGTGCCGCGTGCGGGCAGAGCATACGGGGGCGGCCGGCCATGGGCGCGGGGGCTGTCGCACGGCGCTCGCAGGCGGAGCAGCATGCCTATAATCAGAGGGCAAAGCGCGGACTGGGCGCCCGGCTGTCCGGCGGCGCCTGGCAGCGCCCACCAGCTGAGCTGGGCGGGAAGATCACTTAGGGCGAGCCGCTTGACTGGGGCATGGTTCCAGTAGAGCTCGGTTGCGGTGCGCAGCGGCTTCGGGCGGCCGCGGTAACACCCCGCATCAGCGGGGTGAGCGGCCAGCAGGGCCACCAGGAGCGCAAATAGGAGGACCTGGTGGGCCATAGCTGTCAATAAGGGCAATGTATGTAGGCCGCGGGCCCGCAACTGGGGTATACACGCTTGATCGGGGCCAACGTACCCCGTGACAAGCAAGAACAGGGCAATCCTTGTCTCAATAGCGCAGGGCGTGGCTCTAAGCAAATCAATTGAATGCAGTTGGGACCGAGTCCACCGTGGTACACCGCAAGTCGAGGGAAGTCGAGCAGAGTGAGGAGCAGGTTGACAAGCAGTGTCTACAGGTAAAAGTAGCGAGGAGATGCTCGAGAGGCTGTCCCAAACCGCAGGCAACACTTGCCTGAATTCGTTGGAGAGCGCTACCATAGACGATAGCAGCCAGCACTGGAGGAACCCGACGTGATCTGGCCTGCACGCCCAGCGAGCTAATCCAGTAGATTCACAAAGTCGCGGATGTCGGTCGCGCGCACGGCCCAGCTTTTGGGCCGGGCGTGGCGGAGCTCGGCGGGGGCGCAGCAGCAGGCAGCGGCGGTCAGCGCGCAAGCGCGGCGTTCGTTCGCAAGTGAGCTGTGGGAGGGATGTGTGGCGAGCGTGGGAAGCAGGGGTCAACGTGACAATAGCAATGCCACAGGGCAGACCGGCGACACTCAGTTGGCGAAGGGGCTGGGTCCGTTTCTGCCGAGCATGCGCTGGGGGTGATGGTCCAGCATGCCCTAGCACGCAGTGTGTCTGAACGCCGGGCGGCTTTATCTGGCTGTCTGGACTTTTTGTAAGTCGCCATTGGTTCACAACTGATCGGTGTTGTGAGTTTTTGATGTTCACTGAATTGATAGAACCCTGGCGCCACTAGCGCAGCAGGACGCACAGCTTGTAGCAGACCCACTTCCCTCTGCGTGCTGCTTCACCACCCTACCTCGCCTACCACCCTCCCTGATTTGTTGTATTAAGACATGCGCGCACAGCGGCGCACGTGCGTATGCGCGCACACATGCACACAGACAGGCACGGACGCATGCACACACACACACACATGCACGCATACACACACACACCCTCCCAAGGCCACGGCCACCATGACCCTAGTCAATACGTGACCTATGCCGGCCTGTCCATCAAGAAGGCCTCTCCATGGGAGTACGCCGCCTCGAAGGCCATCGGCGGTTTCATGTGGTGCGCCGCCGCACACGCAGCCCGCACCCCCGCCGGGCCCAGGTTGATGTCCAGGGAGGCCAGAGGCGGGCGCACGGCGCGAGAGAGGGGGCGACGCGGTGTTGCGGCATCAAAGCCTGCCGCCCGGTCAGCAGCAGGCGGCGCGTGTTGGTGCCTACTCACCGCTATCCACACGCGTCCTTACCAAACCCTGTGCGCTGGCGCGTCTCCTATCCGCTCCCGCAAGGTTTTGGGTGTTCAAAATGTTGTATGACAACTGGGAGCACAAGATGGTGCGCCACGGGGGCCGCCAGATCACACCCGCCCCTCACCACGCGGCAGCAGGCTGCGGCAGCCCCCCGCCCTAGCTGCTGCGGGTGGCGGCCGCGGGGCTCATGCTGCTGCCCGCCCCTCCCTCCTCCCTCGCCCGCGCTCGCCTTGCGGTCGGCCACGCGCCCGTGCCGACTGAGCTTTCAGCACCCGCCCCTCACGCGGTGCTGCTGCTGAGGACTGGCCCCCCTCCCATCGCGCCGCCTGCGTCGCAGTACGGCTTGCCCTACATCTTTGAGAAGGAGGGGCTTGACGACGATGACGAGGGCGGCCACGGCCACGGCCACCACTGACCGCGGCGCGGCGGCCCGACGCCACACCTCGGCGCGCGTCTGCGCGCGCCGGCCGGGGTGCCGGCGGCGGTCCCAGGCTTGAGGTAGCTAGCATCTTAGTGGGAGCAGCGTGGCGTGGGCCGGGGGCCGCCGAGCGGGTGGGCTCGCGCGCGCGGGCGCGGGCGCGCCCGTCCGCCGGGCCCGGCGCCCGCCGCCGGCGGGACGCAGCAGGCGCGTTCCGCCGCAGCTTGAGCATGAGGGGAAGGGATTGCCAATCGACATGCGCCCCCGCGGCATGACCAGCTCGAACGCCGCATGGCGTTATTGCAGCAGCTGGTAATATCGTTGTAACCGCTCAGAAGCCGGACAGGTTTTTGCTTTGGATCAGAAAAGTGTCCGGGCTGCTTCTGACGCACGTTTTTGACCTGTCCTGAATGCAGCAGCCGCAGGCAAGGCAGGGTGCTTTACACAGCGCTCTAGCCCAAAGCAAAGGCAAGATCCAAAATGCAACAAGGGAAAACGGGAGGAAGACGTGCGCAGCGGGTGTGGCGCTCGGCACCTGCGTATACACACAAACTGCAGCGCGGACCCGACACCTCGCGGGCGCCTCGGCGGCGGCGCACGCGCGCCACTTGCTGTGCCGAAGCGGCCCCTTGCGCGGCAGCAGGCTCCAAAAAGCACGCACAACAAAACCCTGAAACGCTGACTGATCTGCCCGCAGCACGCACGCCAGGCGACGAGGCGCGGGCGCTGCCGTCGCCACCTCTGCAGACACCTCTCGATTGGTGATTGATTGATCGAATCGACCTGCTGCGCTAAGCCACCATTTCCACAGAGGCGTCTGCCGCAGCTGGCCACCACCAGGCACGCCGCAGGGCGTGGCGCCCCGCTTGCCTCGGCGCAGCACGGTCGGAGAACACCTGGCACGAGCCCGCTGGGCGTCTCACGGCTGACGTCATCGTTTGACCAGGGCCCTCCTCAGTTGACCTGGAACATCTTCTTCAGCTTGATGATCTGGGATAGGGGGCGGTTGATTTGAAGATGGTTGGGGGTGAGGCGAGGCAGGGGATGCGAGGGAGAGGTTTGTACATAGAGATGAGGGACGAAGATGCTGTGAGAGGACGGCCCGCTCAGAAACGAAACAAACCAATAGGGCGCTCGCGCCAGAGGCGGCGTGGCCGCAAAAACGCTGGGGCGCGGCCCTTCCCCCACTATTGCATACACACACACGCACACACACACACGCACCACCCCAGCCTATCCCTCCAGGCCCCCCAAAGGGGCAACCCCACTCCTCTCC